TCCCCACAGGTTGTTTGGATAATCTTCTATACTGCCATCCACTATGATTGACACAGTCTGCAGCATTTGCCTGTTAAATCAGTAGTCAGTAAATCAAGAAGGTTTTAATAAGTCCTAGTCTTTAGTGGACTGGTGGGAAGGTGGGGAAGTCAAACCAGTTCCCTTCCATACCAGACGTCTGATTAGCCTGGAGGAGCCCCAACTCTTCTGCTGGAGAAGCCTGTCTCTGTTTTATATACCCATGAATTATTGGAACTATTAAAAAGCCATTGGAATTTTTGGAAGTGGTTCAAAACTGTTCACATGTGTAACTTTCTGTGACTCTAGCCAGTATCTCTACAAACTCCTGTGTGCTGAAGGTTGAATCTGTTAATTTAATGTATGTATGCCCATCTGTTTGAAATCTGTCATTAAATCCTGACTTGTCTTCCATGGTTGTCCTTTAGACAAACAGTGTTTCAAAAGCAGTTGTAGGTACGTGGGCAGAGGGCATGGCAGCACCCAGGACATGAGCTGGTGGCTGCCCTTAGCATGTTTTTGTAGTAATCAGATCTGATTTGATTAAACAGAGTATGTTGTTAACCATTTCTAATATTTTTTTATTTTACTTGCAAATCAGCTGTCGATCAGAATTTTTAAATGCTTTTTGCTGAAGGCAAATTTTTAAGCAATTTTGCTAGGAAGAATTGATTCATTTGGTTAACCAAGATGTATTCAAGAAGCTCGGAAGCTCCACTGCACTCTGCCAGCCTGACTACCAAGTTGCTATCACATACCTCAGAGCTTCATAGTCTCAAAGGACAGTCATTCTGGAGATACCCTGTTAAATGTTAGCATTTAAATTTATTTGGTTTTAAGCTCTTGAATTTGACTGCTCCTTGTTAATAAATGCAGGAGACTAAGACACAATTGAGGCAGCTATTATCTTAAGCAGACTTGCAAGTCTGGCAGAGTACACAGCTTCTGATTTGTGAGGTGCTTGGTCACTTCATAGCTCAGTCCCTCCCTAGTTGTGCCCTTTTTGTGCATCAAAGGGGAATCTCTGCATTAAGATATTTTTAAGGAAGTGTCTTTCAGAAATAGTTCTTGGGAAATACGCACAGTCCTTGTTTTTGTCAGAGGACCTTGTAGTCTTGTTGCCATGTGGTCCTTGCTTTTCTAAACAGCTCAGGCACCCAAAAAGAGTCCTGACCTAAAGCTGCCTTATAGTAAGGGGTTGATAGTTTAGTGTGCTCTTGCTGCAGGTCTGCTTTGCCTCCTCACTGGTGGAAGTGCCACAGCCTGGCTCTCACCTGTGAGTGTGCAAAGCCAGGGGTCTCAATCTCCAAGTGCTGAGCCAGGGCTCTGGAGTTGCCCACCAGTGCAGGCCTCCATTCTTACCAGGGAAAATGCTGTCTGTTCTTGGTGGAAAAAACACCCCTGGCTATTTTAGGTCCTTGGGATGCCAAGGGAAGAGTGCAATAGCAGACAGCTTCTGCTACTTGTGAGTGGCCAATTTAAGTAAATGATTTCAAATAATAACTTCTATATTTTCTCCTCTCCATCCCCAAACTTGTTCAAACTTTTAGTCTGCTACTTTCTTTTCCTTTTCTATCAGCTGAAACCATTAACTTTCCACAAGAATTGCACAGCCTGCTAGTTCTAGGTCACCCTTTCCTGCTGGCATCTGCATCTTAGCTGCTCACAGCCATCAGTAAAACCATTGTATACTTGAAATGCTCTAATAAATGTTGCCCGAATAACCCACTGTGCAGCTTCTGTGTCGTCTGGTCTTTGATGTTTCATAAAATGGTGGGAGTGTGGAATTTCTTTCAGAGTTTGATTTTTTGGTAAAAATTTTGGGGATTCTCAAATCTCTTGTGCTGCAGGCTCAAGTCCTGCACTTTCAGAAGAGGCCAGAAGCATTCTTAGTGACAGTAGTAGATAATGCTTAGATCCATGCTTCAATTAAGCAGGTTCAGCCAAGTGTTGCCTGTTTAAACTGTTCTGCTCCTTCAGCAGGTGTCCCTGCCACGTGACACACAGTCATGGCAGAGCCACTGCTGCATTCCAGAGTGCTCCAGGCTGGTCTGGAGCAGGACTCTGAGCACTGCTGTAACATGTGCAGAGCTGCTTTCCTGCCCCTTTGCTCTGTTCCTTGCTTGCCTGTGCTCCCACCAGCTGAATTTCTTGTGCTTTGCACTTCTTTGCAGTTCTAGTGGCTGCAAGCCGAGGCAGAACTCGAGCTCAGGAGGACTGGATGAGGGACTGCCATGGGAGAGCAGGGCTTGGATTGGCACAATGAGCCTGCTCTGCCCTCTCTTCTTGATGGGAAGGAGAGTGAACCAATGGCTGGTGGGGGGTCTTTGCATGGAGCAGCAACCTGGGGACAAATATGTCCTTCCTGTGCTGGAGAGCTGAGCTATGGAAGCCACAGCTGTTGGGACACAGTTCCACCAGGATCTGTATCCCTATGGAGCTGACAAGAGGGTGCAGAGAAGAGGCTGCACTGCCCACGGGCTCGGTGAAGCTCCCTGGTAGCTGCAGACATGCAGGAACATCGCTTTGACTTTCACCAAAGAGCAGCCAGTCCCTGGCTGGAAGGAGAGGGAGATATTCCCTAGCCTAACCTCACTGGGACATGAGCAGCAAGTGTACTCTGGTGTGGAACTGGAAGAGAAGTTTCTGTTGGTCTCTTTTGGGCTTCAGGAGTACCATCTGTTAAAACTAATGCAGGTTACTTTCAGTGTTAAAGGGAGGAAACCAGTGTGGGTGCAAAGGGGTGTTGGGGGGGGTGGCTGTGCCACTGGGTATCTCAAGTCTTGCCAACACCAGCTGTCAGAGCCCAGCTAAACATGCAAACCAGCACGACCAAAACCGGTTACCTGGGGGTTGGCCCAGCAAGGGAATGCTGCTGCTGTCACTTGCCTTCAGCAGTCCTTGGGATGTCCTTAGAGCGAGCGGTGCCTGTTGGTGTGGCAGCACACCACTGAGGAGCCCTTGTTCTTCCATGGGGTGTTAGCACCTCTGCAGTTCCACAGCTTGATTTCTAAGCTTGCAAAGGCTGGGCTCACTGTTGCTGGCATTCTGCTCTCCACATATATTGCAGAGGCTTATAAAATTGAGACAAATAATATATTCAAATGAATTTATTTTATAAACCAGTTAAACCAGATAAATCAAATAAGCCAATTAAAGCGTGGCCAAAATTTGAATACACATTCATTACATCGAATTGGAACTACCCAACTGTAAGAATTCTCACGATTTCAGAAGGGTAACCCAGAATGCACAATCCCTCACGCAATGAGGGCTCTCAGCCTTGAGGAGTTTCCTCAGGAGAGCCCCTGTCTGCTGACCCTCAGCTCCGAGGAGGAGCAGCTCCACTGATCCCCACTGGGGCTCAGTCTGTAGCCCCACTGAATGTGATCTGTGGTCAGATACAGTCACATTACCCCTCACTGAGCGGGGTCTGACCTCCTGCCCCACCACAGCCACCACGCGGGTGTGACAGGGCTGGTCACGCCGGCCAGCCGGGACATGGCCGGCTCACCGGCCGGAGGGGCTGAGGTGGGTACTCCTGCCACAACCAGTTGGTTTGGATTTGTTTGTTGGGTTGATCTGTTAATTCTCTGCCAGGCAGTGGGTGGAGGAGGATTCAGTATGGACACACTCCTAGCCTTAGAGGAGCTGCAGTGGTGGGGAAGGGACCCCCCTCCAACTGCTGAGGATGGGGACACTGGAGAGATGCCTGAAAGTGGAGCAAGCTGAGGCTGGCTTGCAGAAGCCAAACAAACCTATTCTTATTCCTATTTATTTAGTTACTAACTGGCAGTGGCCATTATGCCCTCAGGCCACTGAAGGCACAACCAAAACCTTACTACTGCCACAACAAAGGAAGGTTTACATCTCCCTGTGTTGAGAAGCACTGAGCTAATGGAGCTGCTCATGCAGGGAAGAGTGGAGAGTATTAGCTGGCTCATTAGAGGATGAGAAAGTAGGACACATACCTCTCAGGTGACTTCCCCAGAGCCAAACAGCCCAGCACTCCACATGCTCTGTCTCCCAAAACAACAGATGTCCAGGAGAGATTAGGGCAGTAGAAGGATTTTTCAGACCTGGCAGCCAAACAGCCAAGAGTGTGTGCCAAGCTGAGAGACACCAGTGTTGTTGCGGGGATAACGGATTTTCACAAGCTTGGAGCCATGAAAAGAAACAATCTCTTCCATCTTCCAGTTACTTTACTGGGTTTTTTAGGTCAACTTCCAAAAGAACTGTAGGGGGGAAAATGAAATATTTCAGCTCAGGTCTGCCCCAGGTATGGCCCCAGTTCTGGCCCTGTGCAGACCAGCTGTGCTGCCCGGCAGCCTCAGCCCCTCCTGATACCTGTGCGGGTGCTGCTGGAGCCAGGAGCAGGGAGAGACACCAGTGCCAGGTGAGCCTGGCCAGCTTCACCTGCAAACACCAAACCAAACCCGCTGTTCCGCAGAGGGGAACTCGGTCCTCAGCTCTCAGCCCCAGAGGGCCTTCACGAGCAACCCACGTCGGAAGGTTATGGGAGAGCAGAGACATCGCTCAGTGGCAATGTCACCGCGTCTCTTGCTGATGGTCCCTCTGGGGTTGGACCCCCCTTGCCCCGTGGTCATAGGTGACACGTCACATGCGAGGCCCCCTGCTACAGGCTGCTTTCAATCAGCGGCGGCACACAGTCTCTCGGGAAGCTCTTCCAGCCTTCTGGAGGAAGGACTAAGAAATCTTGGACCCAGCTCCCCTAGCGACTTGGCCCGAACCGCGAACGCCCCTGGCCTGGGGGGACTGAGACTGCTGCCCCCGCTGTGGATCAAAGGCTAAGGGGAGCCCAGCCCCGGCCGGGCCCCGGGCCAGCCCCCCCCACCGCCCCGCCCGCCCCGGGCCTTGCCCAGCGCTGCCGCCCCTGCGACCCCGCGGGAAGAGCCGCCCTCGGGCCCGGCCCCTTCCGGCGGCCACGCCCGGCCCGGCGCGGTGCGGCTCCGTTGGACCGGCGCGGTGGGCCCGCGATGGCGGTCCCGGCGGAGGCGGTGCCGGGCCGGCAGCGGGCCTTGGCCGTCGGCTCGCCCGTGGACTACATGAGCATCACCAGCTTCCCGCGGCTGCCCGAGGAGGAGCCAGGCGGCGCGGCCGAGAGCAGCCTCCGCGCCCGCAAGGAGGAGGACGCGTTCCTGGGCGAGCAGGACACGGGTGAGGGGCGGCGGCAGCGCCCGCCCGCGGCCCCCGGGCCCCTCCAAGCTCCCCGACCCCGCGCACCGGGCGGGGCTCCCCGGGCTCCCTGTGCCCTGGTCCCGCGGTCACCCTGCAGGGGCGGGCCGGGAACAGCGGGCGCGGAAGGCAGCCAGAGATTCAGGGGTTCGCCACCGAGCATCCCAGGGCAGCCTGGAGTGAGCTCTCTCACAGGCAGCTTGGCCTTCCAGTCTGGACCTCTCGGGTATGGCCTCCTGGGATGCTCCTTGAGCATCCCTCCATCTGGGATGCTCTTTCATCATCCCTCCACCTGGGATGCTCCTTGGGCATCTCTCCACTGGTGGTCGGCTGGAATAAAGTCAGGTGATCCTTTAATCCATGAGAAGACCCTCTGCCTCTTTTTAACTGATTGCTTCCTCCTCTATAGTTGAGAGAAACAGTTCTCCCCCATGTCGAGTTTCTCCCATCAGAATTGCCCTTCATCTTCCGGGGTTGCTTTGCAGTTCAGCTGTCAACATCCAACTCCCCAGGCCCATGTTCGCACCCCTTGCCCTCTGCCCTGTCCCACTGTGCCCACAGGTGAAGCTCCCATTGCCCGTTTTTGCCCTGTGCCCTCTGGTGCCAAAGCCACTGCATACAGGTGTGTGGGAACAGCTCTTCTGGGAGCACTAGGCCTCTTGTCTCACACCCAGAATTCGATATGGTTTTGGCTGTGCTGGTGCCCACAGATGGGGTGGCTGGAGGGGCTCCTACTCTCCTGATGTGGAAACACAGTTGTCCAACACTGTGTTGCAGAAGCTAGCTGTCCTTCTCCATGGCTCAGAGCCCATGGGCGGCTCCGCTCTCTGCTGTCCCCTCTGCAGTGGCTCCAGAGCTGAGGTGCTCCCGGTTCCTGAAAGCGTTGGTTCCCCTGTGAAGCCACATCTCCTTCACAGCCCCCACGAAAGCCAAATGGGGTTTGGTGGCTTGTCTTTCAAAGAGTGGACATTGGTGGTGGGATGGGCACTTGCACATTGGCTGTGCAGGCTGCTCCTGTGCCCCAGTGCTCCCGACCGAGCCCTTCCAGCTGCTCCTGTCCCCAAACCATGGCCCTGCTGTCTCCATACAGCACTGGTGGTCACAGAGACTAAGTGACTAGGGCCACATGAGATGTCTGTGGTGGAGAACGAAGGTGCTTCTGTGTGGTGGCAGGGCTGTGGCCTGCCCTCTCCTATGGTTGCTCCCTGGTGTTCATGTCCCCTCGTGCTGGGCTGGCCTGTCACCAGACCTACAGGAGCAGAGCAGAGGGCCGGTGTCCTAGAGGGACTGAGCAGAGGAGCCCAGCTCACTCCTTGCTGTTGCCCCACTGGTGGGGCTGGGGCCTTGCTTGGAGGTGCCATGGGCTGTATGTGACATCCGTCCCCAATGGCATCCCCTGCTAGGCCTGTGATGGCCCCCACCCAAGGCCACCAACCAGTCCTCCCACTCTGCCCACACACTGCAGGCCCAACTCACTTAGACCAGAGAAGCTGGTGAGGGGCTCAGTGAGTGCTCAGAGGCACAGTCTGGGAAAGCTGAGCATTTCCTCTTTGCACTCCTAAACCACCACAGCATGAATGAGATTAAATTCACCCTGAGGGGATTCCCTGGCTGTGAGGAGTTTACTCCTGCTTGCAGCATCACTGAAACTAAAACTACCTCCCTTCCTGGCCCCAGAAGAGCTGCACCCAGGAAGTCTTGTTAACGTCACAGCAAGGACTGGGCTGGCTGTCCCCATGGTGACAACACCTGCCAGAGCAGACAGAGGCAGGCGGGGTGATGGGGAATGCGGGCTTTCGGGCTCACTCCCTTCTCCCTTTCCAAACCCAGGAAACATCTCCTGTGTGGAGGGACAAGCTTCTCATCTTGTCTTTTCCACTTGGTGCTCCTCTTTTTCCCACCACAGGTGTGCGGGGCACTGCAGCCCATGAAACGATTCATCCAGGAGCCCTGGATGGTGCCCTGAGCCACTTGGTCCTTTCAGTGCCTGGCAGGGATGGGCACGTCCTCACAGCTGCCCCAGCAGCTCCGTGTGCCCAGCAGTGATGGGGGACAGGCAGGGCATGCTCAGGTGTCCTCCTGGCTGTGAAGGTGGCAGCTGACACTCGCAGAGATTCAAGGCACCTTTCAGAGCAAAAGAGAGACTTTTTCATCCTGATGAGCTGTGTTTGCTGCCCAGCAAGCCCCTGCCCCACTGCTTTGCCATCTTGGAACCAGGCGTTGGGGTGAGTGGCTTCATTTCCCAGTGGGCCTCATCCGCCAGAGGAAGCAAGGAATTAAAGCAGAGTCCTTCCTGCCGTCAGAGTGGGTGAATGTCCTGAGGCCTCCAGTTTGCAGGTTTGCTTCTCTCTGCCCTCACCTTTCCATGCTTCCCTAGAGGTATTTTCTGTGCCCAGGCCACGTTTTGCTTTGCCTCTGTTTTGCTCAGGTGCTTTAGCTGAAACACAGCTCTGCATAAAGCTGCTGGATTTTTTTTTTATATCTTAATTTCCTTTTCTTCAGTCCTGCTGCATTTCAGAGACCTCTTTGCAAGTCAGTGCTCAGGACCCCTTCAAGCGGAGCAGTAACTGGGCCCATCACCGAAGACTGATGAATGGACTGAAATGGAGCAAAATTCAGGCAGTTTTTGTCCCTCTTAATCTCTAGGGAAGTCAGTTTGGAATAACTAGAGCTAAACTAAGGGATCAGTAAAATGACCGAAAGCAGCATCTGAGCCAGAAAGGCTCTTGAGAGCTGTGATCAATGGGGAAGGTGATAGCCATGCTGGAAGGGGCTCCATGTAACATTAGCGCTGGGTAAACACTGCAATAAGAGTCCTGAGTTGCTCAATAACTCACACTTGTTTTCTCCCTGCTGCCCACAAAGACCCAGACTCCTTCCTGAAGTCTGCGCGTCTCCAGCGCCTGCCCTCATCCTCCTCGGAGATGGGAAGCCAGGACGTGTCCCCTCTCCAGGAGACCAGCAAGGACCCTTTCTCTGGAGACTGCAGCTGCCGGCAGGATGGGCTGACTGTCATCATCACTGCCTGCCTGACCTTCGCCACGGGCGTCACGGTGGCCCTCATCATGCAGATCTATTTTGGGGACCCTCAGGTAAGACAAAACGCTGGCTTTACAGTTGGGCTTTGGCTGCGAAAATAGGAGAAGCTCCCTAACTTTCCTCCTGTCCACAGTCTGGCAGGGTGAGTGCTGGTGAGCCACAGCCAGCGTCAGCAAGGCCCTAGGTGCTGAGTCTGTACCCCAAATTGTCTCAAAAACTTTTTACTGCACCTAGAGGTTGTACTTGGAGAGCCAAGCTGGGCTCAGTGCCTGCCCAGTGGCCAGGGTGTGGGGGGCTGTTTGGGGGTGCTGCTGAGGTGGAACAGACAGCCCCACTGCCATGACTCCAGCTGAGGTTTGAGCCTGGTGTGAGTGCTTTCCAAAAACAGTCCTTATTTAGACAGTAGGCATCTTGTCCACTTGGAGAGAGTTTTATGGATTATGGGCATAAATGCTCAGGTTCACCTCTGGAAGATCCATCCAGGACCAAGCAGGGAAATAACTGAAAACAGAAGTAAACCTTCTGCTAATGTGTCCCACAGCTCAGTGCTCGACTGCAGAGCAAAGGCAGCATGGCCATGGGCTTGGATCTTCCTGCAGAATATCTGCCAAGTACTACAGCCTGGGAAGGGTCATGGGCAGCCAGTAATCGCCATCACCTTTGTACCACTGGGTTAAAATCAAGCTTTTAAAACATCCTGTAACTGCATTAGCACTGGTGCTGGTTCTGGGGAAGGATGAGAGCAAATTGTGGTACTGAGGGGGATGCTGCATTCTTTGTAGCTATAGTCCCATTCCCAGTGACCACCTCCTGCAACGCAGTGACAGCACTCATTGGTCACCCATTGCTCTTGAGGATTAGTCTGACCTTGCTCTGGGGTTGTGGGAGACGGAGTTGTGGCTTCCCCAGCTTAGCATGTCCACTGTTGTAAGTTGTTTGAGCTGATGGCGTGGCTACACGCAGCTGCCCTGGAGCAGTGGTGTGCCAAGGGACATATGACTACCACCAGCATTTGGAGGGACCTTAAAATGCAGATCAGCCATGACTTTGGCACTGGCCTCAGGCTTCAGGTCCCACATTGCTGGGTGAAGATCTGGGCTGCACTGGCACTGCTCCCTGGGCACAACCGCTCTGCTCTTCCGGCAGCTCTTCCACCGCGGCGCCGTGGTGACGGACGCGGCGCCCTGCACGGCACTGGGCACGAAGGTGCTGGGCAGGCAGGGCTCCTCGGTGGACGCAGCCATCGCCTCAGCCCTCTGCGCAGGCATCGTCAACCCCCACACCTCAGGGCTTGGAGGGTAAGTGTTGGTCACTCACCCTGGGCTGTCACCTCCAGTTGTCCTCAAGGAAATGGTTTCATAGAATCCCAGAATGGGAAGGGACCTTAAAGCTCTTCTCATTCCATCCCTCTGCCGTGGGCAGGGACACCTTTCACTAGACCAGGTTGCTCTAAGCCCTGTTCAACCTGGCCTTGAACACTTCCAAGGATGGGGCAGCCACAGCTTCTCTGGGCAACTATCTTGTGAAAAGTCCCTCTCAGCTGAGAAGTACCTTCATGGCAGCATGAGATCCAGTGTGTAGTACTAGGTCTCTGACATCAGGTGGTGGATCTGTCCTCGTCTGCACAGGGACAGGGCCCCTTCCTGTGCACCTTGTTGACAGTGAAGGACAGAGACCCCCAGGGAGGGAAAAGCTCTGTCTGCCATAGTGGCTGCCAGGAAAGCCCCAGGCTCAAGAGGGCTAACAAGCCCCACTGTGAGTGTGCCAGGAGCTGGCAATGCCCCAGGCTCAGTCCTGGTGCTTTCAGAGCCTGAGTTCTCCCCTCCATAAGCTGTGCTCCTGAGATCGGGGTCCAATACCAGCTCTAGGCAGCTGCCAGGGAGGCATGGCAGTGAGGGATGGCCTTCTTCCAACCCTCATCCCCAGGGTGGCATCCACATGAGCCTTATGCTCCTGGCTCTGCAGGAGGGCTCAGCAGCATTGCATAAACCACAGCCATCTAATACCTGCTCCAGCTGCACCACCCATTGCTGGTGTAAACAAACACTCTCTTTTGTTGCAAAACTGCTCATATTAGAAAGAAAATCCCAGATTGTCCCCACCTGGCATTGGAACAGAGCCAGTAGCTCCCTGGCCAGGCTGGCAGGGACTGATCCAGCCTCACCAAGCTCAGCACAGGGCTGCCTGCATCCCACACTGGCTCTGCCTTGGCTGTCCTGGTGTGTGCTCTGGGGAAGGACAGCAGCATTCCCCACACCAGCTGGGGCTGGTGACCTGCCACAGTGACCTGTCACGCTGGCCCCAGTGGCACTCGCACTCTTCATTTTGGCTCTACGGCAGCAGCTGTTGCAGGAGCAGCCGGTGCCATGCCCTGACCTCCCTCTCGCTGCAGGGGTGGGGTGATGCTGGTCCACGACATCCGGAAGAACAGGAGCTGGGTGATTGACTTCCGTGAGGTGGCTCCCCTGGGCATCCCTCTGGAAGGGGACCTGCAGCAGGACACCAAGGTGAGGACCAGTGTCCCACAGCCACCCTTTCAGGGCAGCTCTCCTCCCTGCAACCCTCAGGCTGGGGGCAGATGCCCAGCAAAGCAACAGGAGGCCTCTTACCATCAGAGTTCCTGGGCCTTACAGACATGGGGAATCCAAGGAAAATATTGCCTTTTCAGCCCCAAAATGCCTGCAGGGCTTGGCGAGTAGAGAGGTATGTCCCTCTGGCAGGGGAGAACCAGGAGAATAAGAGCTCCAAGAAGGAGCATAATCCCAGGTCATCCTGCTGAGTTATTTCTCCTGACCAAACTGGGTTGAGAACGGGATTGAATTTGACTCTTTCCTTCCAAAACCTTTTATTCCCTAATTGTGTTGTTACAGACCTCTTCTTCTCTCGTAACTATGCAGATAGTTCCAAAGCGAGCATGACTTGCATCTCCTTGACTTGCATTTGGGGACCATGTGCTATGTCCTCATGGAAAGAAGACTACTCTTCCTTTTTGTCCTTCCTATTTTACAGCCAGGTCTGCTCGTGGGGGTGCCAGGCATGATACAAGGGATGCACCAGGCACATCAGTTACATGGCAGGTAAGACATGAGGCTGGCACAGGCTGTGCCCTGGGGTCCCCACTGGAGAGCTGGGAGCACACAAGGCCTTGCCATCAGATAATGTTCTCAGCCACCAGTCAAAACCATTAGCTGAGAGGTACTTGGAGGCTTGTGTTGAAAAAGATGTTCATTTTTTGATACTTAATGTACAAAAGAAAGAATTCGCTTGGTCAGGTTTTCTGTAAAGTGAAATTCTGGCTAACAGGACAGATAATAAATGTTCTCTTGGACACAGGCACAGCACATTTCCATGCTTGTCTGTGTATTTTTATTCTCTCCTTAGCTGGATCCTAGGAACTATGGCTGCCCTTAGTGCCCTGTTGGGATAGAGAGGGAGGGATCTAGATTACTTGTTCAGGGCCAGAGCCTGGCTTCAGATTTTGCTCCTGAGATGCCCCTTTCCCCATCCATGTACTGCCATTCCTCTCTGGTGCACATCCTGGAGCACTGAGATGATCCTGTTAAGAAGAAACAACCACTGAAAGCTCAGTGCTCCTTTTGGCCACTGCTGTCCCCACAGCCTGGTCTTTTAAGAGCCCCTGAACATAGAGCTGAACCCTGCACTTGCTCCCCACCACCCTGCCCCACTGTACCCCCAAGGCATGTTTCTCCTTGTCCTTTGGCAGACTCCCGTGGTCCGAGCTGCTGGACCTCGCAGCTGGTGTTGCCCAGAACGGCTTTAATGTCACACATGATTTGGGTGAGTACCTGATGGAAAGCCAAGGGTGACTGCTCAGCACAGGGTGGCCCACTGGCCACTGCGCTGGGGTGTGAGGCAGCTGGGGATATAGGTGGTTATTTATGGGAAATCAAGGCTCTTTGGACCTGGAGATGGATGATGTTGGGAGCTGAGCAATACATAAGCCACGGTCAGAGCACGGTGGCAGCAAAACTGGAGCCTTTTGCTATGGCTGGTCAGAGCCAGGTCAGAGCAGCCCACACTGGGCAGCACCCAGGGTCAGGCAGGGAAGGGCACTGAGGCTTCTTTGTGTTTCCTTTGCAGCTCCAATGGATCCATGATCCAGCCTCCCTCTAGTTTTACAATAGGGCCAGAGGCAGCAGCAAGCCCCCAGCATCCCCAGTGGGTGCACAGTGACTCCAGGTCCCCTGCACCTTCCTGATCCCTACTGTTTCTGGATGTCTTTCCCCTTCTCACCTTCAGCCAAAGCCCTGAGTGAACTGAAGGACCTGAACTACTCTGACCGATTCCGGGAGCTGTTCCTGCCGGATGGGCAGCCCCTCCTGCCTGGCACATTTGTCCGGCGCATGGATCTCGCGGCCATCCTGGAGCTGATGGGGGCAGAAGGGGTGTCAGCCTTCTACAGTGGAAACTTGACCCAGGAGATGATCTCTGAGGTGAGCCAGGACTGTCCCTGTCTCCTACCGGGGTGGGGCTGCCACTTGCACTGCCCAAGGAGAAAAGCCAAGTGTCAGCACAATGATGAGAACAGATGCATGGAACCTCCTTTTTCTTTTCTGTCCCCATCCCTGCAGCGCTGTAAGTGACACACAGGCCATTCCCACAGCCCTCAGAAGTGAAACCTCCGATTCCTCTATAACCAGGAGAGACTGTTTTTTTGAAGGAAAAAAAATTATTTTGAAGGCCCCTCTGGGCTCTGTTAATTTAAGTGGCAACCCCTTTTCCCCCAGAATTAGAGGTGCCCCACTGATGAGAAACAAGTTGTTGTTGTTGTCATTAATGGGACTATAAGATAAAGACTCTAGGAAGATGGTTTAAAAATAAAACTGAGTCATGTGAACAGAGGATTAGACAGGCTTGGTCCCACGTGGGGTTGCCCTAGTTTAACTCTTGTTGTTAGATGTGCTCTGGAAAAAATATCAATGACAAATGAAGCACTTATTCTGTTAAAAAAACCCCCCACAACTTTTATACTTGTGTGGCTGCAGTCAGAGTGGTTGGCAGCACTGTTTTTTCCAACCACTATGGTTCAAGTGATGCATCTTCAGTATCTGGTGAGTAATCTGGAATGGGTTCACTCTGCTCAAGCCTTAGAGATTTGTGAGCTCTGTGTTTGGAAATATACAGTTCACCTGGGCCACAGCACAGGTGAAGGATGAGGAACAGGAAAAGTCCCAAACTTGTAAGCATCTCCTCAGCTAAACCTTGCTTTGTCACCACATTTCCCTGACCTGGGGCTGCTGCAGGGAAACACAAATTCTCTATGGAGGAGCAAGGCCCAGGGTTGCCACACCAAAGACCTTGGCAAGCTCTGGGATTCAGTACACAATTCCAGCTTTGGCTGCAGAGCAAAGTGCTGGCTTCCCACAGGGAAGACATCCATGTGGTGAAATCAAGCACTGCTCCAAAATGCCCCACCCTTTGCTTCCAGGCACAGGTGCAAAAAAGTGCTCTCTGGGGAATTTGAGATGGTGTCTGCAGTGTGTGGCTGACTGGGGCTTCTCCCGTTTCTGTGCCATCCTGCTCCTCCTGCCCTGGTCTCCACTGGCCAGGCTCCAAGGAAGCAGCTCTTGGCACAGGCACCAGTGGCTCAGCACAGCCCTTGGGTTCAACCGGCCTTTTCCCTGAGAAGGAAATGGGGATCTCAAGTAGGAGAGACATCTTTAGCCACTTTGGGTTAGTTTGACATGCTGGCTCCACAACATGCCCTGCATTAGCTTTCCTTGTCCAGTGATTCATCCAGTTCTGCCAGAGAAGGAGTTTTGCTGCCGAGTAAGCTGGCTGGGTTAGAGATCAGAGCACAAACAGGTGGTTTGTTCCTACCTTTTTTTGAATGAGAATCCAAAGGACTTACAGCAGCAACTCACCCCAGCAGAACATCTAACCAGGCTGTGTGGCTTCTCCTGGGTGGAAGAAAGGAGTTGGCCTGTTAGCACCTGTACACTGACAGTGTCACCTCCTTCAGGGCAGGTTAAGATCAGCAGAGTGCAACTCATAGAATCATGGAATCACAGAATATCCTGAGTTGGAAGTGACCTACAAGGATCATCGAGTCCAACTCTTGGCTCTGCATAGGACACCCCAACAATTCCACCATGTGCCTGAGAACGTTGTCCAAATGTTCCATAAGCTCTGGCAGGGTTGGGGCTGTGACCACTGCCCTGGGGATCCTGTTTCTGGTGTCTGACCATCCTCTGATGGTCCTACCTCATCTCCATCATGACTCAACAACAGAAGACCTGCAATGGAGGGAGTCGCCATCTTTACCATGTTCATGAAAATTAACAACCCTAATAAATTGTACCTCTAGGAGAGTCTTACAGGAGGACCAAGGCTACAGCAGACCCACGGTCACCTGAAATAATTTCAAATAGAGTGGGAATTGTGATTTTTTTTAATTGAGATTTCTAGTGATGGCCACCTGCTACACCCAGGTTCCTTCTCTCCTGGATCTATATATGACTCTAAACCTTAACACACTCATGCTTGCCACCCAGGGCAGAGAAGACTGCAGGGCAGTGCCAGTCCCTATCTTCCTGGGCAGGCAGAACATCTTCAGAGCACCCCTGAGGTGGGTGAGCTGCAGAGCCTTCCCACAGTGGTGAATGGTGAGCCAGGCCAACAAGGCCATGAAAGCGCAGATTTGCAGGTTATCCCAAGGAACGTGGCACTTGGCTTGCGAATCTCAATGGTGTTTGTTTGACAGTGAGGTGTGAGTCCCTCTGGCCCAGCATGAGGAGCATAGAGAGCCTTGCCCCAGCCTGCTCAGTGTGTGCTGCTTTACTCTCATGCAGGTCAACAACTATGGTGGAGTCTTGGTGGAGGAAGACTTCAGCAATTACAGTGTCACAGTGGAGGATCCCATCCACACAGTCTATCGAGGTAAACTCTGACCCATTGTCATGCAACTCCAGGTAAATGTTTGCTTCATCTGGCAAGAGGTGCCAACAGTATCTAACAAGAGCTAAAGTTAAAGCTGTGCTCAGGTGTCTGCAGAAAGTCCTTCTACGCAGCTTCCTGCTCTTGCCTGCTGACAGTGATGCATCATGGGTTCAGGAGGTTTTCAGCACTTTGAAATGTTTTTTCCCATGATAGTGACAAATGGTATTTTGATAGTGTTGAAGTGTGAAGGTGCAACATGGTCCATCTTGATGCAATGTCTGCATAAGAAGCTGGATCATAGGCCAGCAGCTACATCTGAAGACAGTTCCAAACTTGAGCTACAAGGGAGAAAAGCTGACTTTATGCAAGAAGTTTCTAAAATGTCTTTCTTTTCTAGCAATCCCTGTATTTACTCTCCTTACAGCTGTAATGTTGCAAACCTGTTTAATACGCAGCCTTTCAGTACTTAAAGGGGGCTTATAAAAACAGGGAACATGACTTTTAACATGGGCAGATAGTGACAGGAGAATGGGGTGGTTTCAAACTAAAAGAGGAGAGGTATAGAAGCAATTCTGTAGTTAGGAAGTAATTCTTCCCTATGAAGTTGGTGAGGCCCTGGCACAGGTTGCCCAGAGAAGCTCTGGCTGCCCCATCTCTGGAAGTGTCCCAAGGCCAGGTTGGAACTGGGCTTGGAGCAACCTGGTCTAGTGGAAGAAGTCCCTACCGATGGCAGGGGGTTGGTGTTGAATGAACTTTAAGGTCCCTTCCTTTCCAACCCAAACCATTTCATGATTCTATCTCTATTTTTCCATACTCAGTCCAGAAACCAAAAGCCAACTAATAAGAGCTGAATCTCAGATGTTAAAAAAGCATTCCTATTTGGGCTTCTTTAATCCTTCATAAAGAAAGAGCAAGATACGACAAGAATGTTCTGAAAAATCCTTCTCAAATCATGTTGCTTTCTGTTATTTCCCCTTGAATCTGGAAGGATTTCCCTGTCCTCAAGGACACTAGCTCAGAGAGTGTTCTAACTGGACAGTATCTGACAAAAGCAGCTTCATTCCTCTCTTCTTCCCTCCACAGGTCACCTTGTTTTCAGCCCCCCACCTCCACATGCAGGTCCTGCACTGATCACAGCACTGAACATCCTCGAGGGCTTTAACATCACAAGTAAAGGATCCAGGGGGAATAACTTGCACTGGATAGCAGAGGTAAGAAGAGGTTCAATAATTGGCTGAATTGCTTGTGCTGCTAGAGAAGAATTTATTTATTCCTTGATTGTACAGAAATGTTCGTAGGCAATTCCCACAGGAGAGCGAGCAAATAGACTGCTAAGGTGTAAAACTGAGTGGTGCTGCTGTCTCAGGGAGGTGCAGTGGCTGAAGTCTCCTGCTCAGCTGAGCTCTTTCTTGCTCAGGCAGAGCTTTTTCAGAACAAACTGTGGCTTTTGCCCACATGCAGTCATCTCTTCAGAATGACCCCACAGCACCTGAGGGTGGTCCCATCTAGTTCCTTCACCTCTTAGCTCCAATGGCCCTGACCATTCCAGAGCACCTAAAGGCACTGAAAGGAGTGCTGCAAGCAAAAGCCTATATGTGGTGATGACAAGGAGAACTGACCCAATACTTCATATTTTAAGAAAATATTTACATTTTTGCCCACCTCACAATCTCTGTGGTACAGAATTTTTCCAGTATTTAGTACTGTCAGCCCTACCAAAACATTGTAGCTTCCCAGGAGGTCAAGCAATTGCTTTGGCACTTGCTCTGTAAGCAGAGTTATGCTCTGAGGTGCTTCACAGATCCACAGCTGGGCTTTATGAGTTGGGAATTTCAATCAAGGATTTAACCACATCCTTGTAGCAGGCAGGACAGCAGGTGCTTGGAATTTATTATTTCTCAGCAAAAAGGTAACAGCTGGAGGTGTTTGTCTCAGTTTAACGAGACAGAAATGTTTCGTTAGGAGGGCAGGATATGGGAAAAACAACCAAGCTGCTCCCTTCGAGTAATTATAACTTTGAAATTAAGGGGCTTCAGTCGAAAGGTGTGGAAAAGAAAAATAACAGCTATTTATTAAAGAAAAAAAATATATATGGGTAACACAACAAAAAACAAGCGACAATCCCGTAACCCAACTTCCACCAAAGCGATTGAGTCCTTTCTGCCCGTCGGCGCAGTTACCGCCGCTCCCGGCAGGGGGCGCTGTTGGACGGAGGGGCGGTGTCGCTCCGTGGCCGGCAGGGGGCGCTGTCCGGCTCCGGCCGCGGGTCCCACACGGAGGCGGCCGAGCGGGCCCAGGGCTCGGGCAGCGGGAGAAGGGAAGGGGCCGCTTCCCGCCCTGGACTCACGCTGGCAAAGGCTGGCTCCGGCTGTGGGTTCCCTTCCTCGTCAAAAGGTGCTGGCTACTGCCGTCACGGGAAAAAAAAAAAGAGGAGGGGAAGGGCGGCCCTTCCCACACAGGCTCCCCCACACTGGCTTTTAGATGAATTCGAGGCAAATCCAACCATGGAGCAGACTCGGGTGCGAAACGGGGTCTTCCTCGAGGACAGAAGAAAACTAGCTGCCCGTCCGAGCAGACGAGCTCCGACCTCGTCCCCACCCCGCGTCCCGAGAGCCGCGGAGAAACCAAGACCCTCCCCCCGAGGGAAAAAGAAAGGAGGAGGAAAAAAAGTCCACCAAACCTGAGTTCTGTCTTGAATCTTGAATCTGGCATGACCTGCAAGCTGAAAGTCAAGTGTGTTTCTGCTCAGCACAGGCTGGCTCAGTTGATGAGCCTCACTCCTTGTGGCTCTCCTATGGCTGTGATGTAATCCTAGGGCTGGATAAACTGTGTCTTTTGAAATTGTATCTTCCCATATTTAATCAACTGGCTTAGGCAGGATTCTGCATGTTTGAGAAACCAGATCCCTTCTTCCTTTCACACCATCATTTCCCAAAATGTGCTGGGACTAATGCTTTCTGCTCAAACACTTTGGATGGCTTACAACTAGGAGCTGGGTAGCAGCTAGTGAGCAGAACAGCTCATTTCTGCTTGGCACTGGTGCTATGCCAGCAGAGCTGGCATCCAGAGGCAATAGTGAGCCTAGGACCTACTGTCCCACTGGGATTCAGTCTGGTCTCTGCTGTTGTGGTGACCACTTGGGAAAGGAAATAGAAAGTAAATGGCATCCTGGTGACCTGTCTGCCAACTGGCAATGAAGCTGAACCACTGAGCTGGGTGTCAGCTCCTGCCAAGTATGTTCCATTTCTGGCTTCCCACTGACAGAGGACAGGGTTAGATGGGATGTTTGGAAGAAATTCTTGGCTGTCACGGTGGTGAGGCCCTGGCACAGGTTGCCCAGAGAAGCTGTGGCTGCCCCATCCCTGGAAGTGTCCAAGGCCAGGTTGGACGGGGCTTGGAGCAACCTGGGCTAGTGGAAGGTGTCCCTGTCCATGGCAGAATTTGGAACAAGATGATCTTTAAGGTCCCTTCCATCCAAACCCATCTGTGATTCTGTGACTGTACAAACACTTCTGGATACACACAGCTCCCACAGCACATTTTGTCTTCCCTTCCATTCCCTCCTCTCCGGTCTCTTCCCCTCCCTCTCCTTTCCCTCCCCCCCCCACCCTCACCTTCTGCTCTCCTCCTTTTCTCTTCTCTTCTCTTTTCTTTCTTTAGACGTTAAAAATAGCCCTGAGTCTAGCGAGCAACCTGGGAGACCCATCTGGTGACATGTCCATCGCTCACACAGCAGAAGGGATGGTGAGGTAGGTCTGAGGTGACTGGCACAGTGACAGTTGCAAGATGTGTGGTTGATATAATTTCTGGGTTTGCTATGCCCTGAGCTTTTTCTGTTTTACTGAGGAAAGGTCAGTCTTTGAGTGCCCTCCCAGGGATCACTCTTCCACAAAGATCACAGCTGATACCCCAGAACTCTGGGGATGGGTCACAGGATGTCCTCACACAGAGGTTTGCTGCATCCAGCTTGAACCTGAGGGTTCCTTCCACTTCCTCACACCTGTAAACATTCCCTCTCAGTGGGTCTGACAAACAGCCATGACCATGGGCATAGGCATGGCCAGAAAAGCTATTTCTGCCTCTCCCTGCCCCACCATAGTGGTCGGTGCCTTGCAGAACACCCAGATGTGTGGGAGAGACCAGGCCTGGGGTTTCAGCCTAGCCTCCCACCTCAGAGCCAGGTTTAGCCATGGTTGGTGGCCAGAGCTGGTCCTGACTTGTCCTCCTCCTGAGTGCTAGCGTTCAGCTAGGAGTGCCACCTTGTCCTTTGGGGGGGGATTTACTTCTGATGAGGGTAAACACGGGTAGACAGAGCCTTTGAAGGTCCACGGCATTGCCTCTCTGTGCATACTGAGCCAGCTTGTCTCCTTCTATGGGGTGAACCAAAGGAGCTCCTGTCCCAGTGCAGCCCCTCAGGGAACACTGCAGTACACACTGTGTAGATGTACCCTGCAGAGAGACCAGGAGATGTCCAGCTTCCCAGGCTCATGGCTTGCTTCCTTCTCTCCCTCCCTCCTTGCTGAAGTAAATCAGAAGCTAATTCCCTACGCCAGCTGATTAATGACTCCCAGTCCTTCCCATCTGATCTCCACATTCCTCACTTCTCCGTGGAGAGCGGCCCCGCTGCCAGCCAGGTCCTTGTCATGGGGCCCGACGACTTCATCGTCACAGTTGTGAGGTAAAGGATTTACTTCTTCCCTCCACAGTGTGCTCAGGGGGCGGGAGCAGGGAGAAGAAACCGGGTTCAACGGGACAGGATGGGACCAGCCCTGGAGCAGCTTGGCTGTTTTGTCTCACTCAGTCCTGCAACAGAGCAGTGGGGTGGAGATGTGTGGGGTGGTGCTGCTCTGCCTCGTGCAATCCTGTAGCCTTCTGACATTGAAACAGGGCTGGAGGGGCCTGAATCTGCTGGGGAAGAAGTGATGGCCAAATTTGAGGATGATGTGGGCATGGAGGCAGATCCATCACATCAAGGGGAATCCTTAAACACAGGGAGAGACAGAGCTGCTATGGCCCACATGGTTCCTACTCCTAAGTACATGGAAACTGTTACTCCTCACATCTAACCAGTCCTAAAGAACCACCAAAGAGTCTCTGTCAAGCCAAGATGAGATGGAAAGTTGGAGCCCTAAAAACCTCAAGGTGTACAAAAATCTCTGGGATGATTTTTACAAGACTTCTTTGTGTTTCTTTTCAGTTCTTTGAATCGTCCCTTTGGCAGTGGAATCATAACACCCTCTGGAATCCTCCTCAACAGCCAGATGTTGGACTTCTCCTGGCAAAACAAAACAATGAACCACTCCATTTCCAGGCCGGTAATGAATGACATGACAAATTCTTTATTTGGGCTACCTGCATATTTTTTTTTTTCAATTTTATTCTCATCTTCACAACAGGGAGCCTATTTAATGCCTTACTGATAACTGAGAGACAATAGTCTGTAGAAAGCTGCCGTTTTTCACTACATGAGTACTGAAAGAGGAAACAGAAGGCTCCATGTGTATCAGTTAGTTATCATTACAAGGCAATTTTATCAAGCGATAGTTACCTATTTTCCCTGCTGTCCAGATGTACTTTAAGCAACTGTGTGCACTTAATGAATTCATGAATTTTTGCTCTGCAGGTTAAAAAGTAACATATAGCAGCAAAAAAATCTTCAGGTGTTGGAACAAAACAATTATAGACTGCACTGGTGGCTTTCAGTATTGTAAAACCATCCCACTTTGCTGGGCTTGTACTTTCAAAGTGGGTGACTGGTTCCATGTTCCCTCTGTAAGAGTCAGCTTGTTGACATTTTTGGGGTGTCTTGTCTTCAATTGCAGCAAAATCTCATTCAGCCTCGGAAACGGCCCCTGTCCTTCCTGCTGCCCACCATTGTGAGGCCTTCTGAGGGCATGTGTGGGACGTACCTGTGTCTGGGGGCCAACAACGGGGAGAGAGCCTTGAGCAGCATCGTCCAGGTCAGTCCTGTGTCCTCTTAGAGTAGCTGCTGAGCTCAAGGCTGAGTAGGGTCCCCTCCCACAGTGCAGCCTTTTCCTTCCTAATTGTCCCAGGCTGTACCAAAACTGGTGGCCACAGGACTACCAGATCAATCTTTGATGCCACCACTTCCACACTTTCCTGGTGGCACCACTCATAGTTGTAGAGGAGAAGCATTTTGGCAAAATCTGTAATGGTTTTTGTCATTCGTATCTGTTCAAAGCTCGTCTTAAGGATCATTAAGAAAAAAAGGGACACTTTGTATTCAGAGAGTTGCAGGAAACTGGCACCCTTTAGCTCTTTTCCTTATGAAAAGTTCCTTTTAGTGCATTCCTGACTGAATTCCTCCCTGCTCAACACTTGCTATAAATTGGGCAGCTCCTCTTAATTTATGATTTGTAATGAGGTGAAGTATTTGCCAATAGCTTGATTGCATGTACAACATTTTTTTTTAGCTAAAAAGAAAGGCACAAGAACAGCTCCCAGTTTTCTTACCTTTTAGAAAGCATTATTCAGAGCAAAACCAAAGCCAAGCATCGCTTCCTGGTGCTTTGTTTGGAGAAGGCACATGCTGAGCTTTTGGCTGTAAGAAACACTTATTTACAGATTATGTCATGTTCCAGACACACAACTCTGCTAGTTTGGCAGGAACTATGTGACAAAAAGCCCATGCAATCCTGAAAATTTCCTACTTTTCCACCAACAACATACAGGCCCTATTTCAAGGACCTCTTAGTGTGTGCATGCAGTTTGTTAAATGGTTGAAAATCTTCTTTGCCTGCTGCATCTGCAGTTGTTGGAGCCACCAAATTGTGGGATGCTTAGGAAGCTGGCCTCTCCTATTCTTGCCACTTTTTTTTTTTTTTGTTTGTTTGTTTGTTTGTTTTGTTATTGAGGGTATTTTGTTCTCTTGCAGGTTTTGGTAAATGTTTTAACATTTCACAAGAATCTGAGTGAAAGTTTGTCACTTGGTCGACTTCACCCACAGCTTCAGTCCAACACCTTGCAGGTCGACAGTGAGTATGGACAGTGGGTGGGGTGCAGCCTACAAATCCAGTGTGTTTAGGAAAAGGGTAGGATTTTCTTGGCATACTGCTATGGAAGTGCCTCAGCCCAGAGCACAGCTCACTGTGTTCTAGGGTTCCCATGGCTGTAGAGGGTTTTGGGGAAGACAAAAAGCAGAATCCAGCTTCTTCAAAGCCTGGAGCCCTTGCTAAGCTATGTCTTCTCCATCCTGGAAATGCTCCCTGGCTTGTCCAATACCACCAGTCCGAGCTCTTTCAGGTGCTTCTCCCCAGCCCTCCCTCCATCCCTACTCCCTCCTGGTAGCAGCCTTGTTCTATCCTTAAAACCTTTTGGCAATCTGATGCCACTGAGGATACCCAAATAAACACCAGACAGGTTCTGAAAGCTTCCTACACTTTATTACCACTGCCATAAATTATATTCCTTCACTTTCCAGCCCATGTCCCTTAATTCCAGCAACTGGGGAGAAGGCAAGGCTTATGGCAAGGTTTGTGGCTTGACAGTGCTGGAAGTGCAGCATCAGTGCTGGCACTCTGAGACTGTACTGTCAGCTCTTGTCCTTGATATTGCAAGTCTTGGTCTATTTGATGTTTTTCACACAGCCTGGTACTAATCAGAGCAAACCATAAGGGAAATTTGGTTCTTATTTCACACTAAATAGCCAAAGTTTCTGGGCTTTCCCATTTTAGAGGAAAATCTAAAAGGGGTCTGTCTAGTGTGACCTGCAGACTTGAAAACTAGGATGTAATTAAAACAAATTCAAAACTTCAGAACATCCTAATTTGTGGGTTTGGACATTTTGACATCAATAAGGTACATATTAAGACACATGTGCAATGTATAGAGCTTAAATACCAGTGGGGTTTCTGTGTGCCTGCTCGGTTTTGTCCAGCTGGATCCCCAGCTCCATGACCTCGCACACTTCTATTCATACAGAAATTACAAACCATCAAATTAACAAAACAGAAGCAGAAGAGCAGCAGCCTAAGGTAGATGCCTGGAAGATTAAGAAATGTGTGCAGGGCAAGTTGGAAGGATTAGCACACAGTTTATCATTTGACAACTTGTTTTACTGTCATTTGGTTTCAGCTGCCTTGCATTTTATTTTGACTAAAAATTGTTAATATTCTTATTTGTAACTCAGAGTGGGCAGTGGGCATTGTCTCCTGTTCTCTAAGAATAACTACATTTGTTGCCAACAATATGTTTTCCCCTTTTTCCAAAGAGGAGAATCTTCCACATCCTTAAATGGTCTTGCAGATCCTGTCACACCCCATGGTGTGACAAAGCAGTGGCCCCTTGGCTTGCCCGGCTGGAACCTTCTGAAGGGGCTGCAGGCAGGTTGCCCCCCACACCAGATCCCAGCAGGGTTAGACAGAGCTTCGCATCACAGGCAAAGCTGATTGCAGTTTAAAACTCCCCTTTTAAAATCCCTACAGGTGAGTTTCCTGAAGAAGATATAGAATTTCTTGTAGCCAGGGGCCACCAGGTGGATAAAGTCCCAGTGGTCTCTGTAGTTCACGGAGCCAGGAGAACCAACAGTTTCATCATTGGCCTGAAGGACCCCAGGAGTGCAGATGCTGCTGGAGCCACAATATTGTAGCACCTCCCAGGTGACCTGTTGTCTGAACAATGCTGACACACACCAACCCAAGTGATGTGCATGTTCTGAAGTGGCCTCTTCTCCAGCCCTGGGGGAGCCCCACCCAGACGTTCTGCACTCACCACCCCAGGCGGCACTAGGGAAGTCAGCAGCACCAACATGCAGCTCCCTGCTCTTGGTTTTGGTTTTTTTTTCATTTATTTGCATTGCAAGCAGCCCAGTCCTTGGTACAGGAATGCCAGGAGCACACTTTTCTTTTGGGAGAATCTTGCTAATAATTTCAGTCTTTCCAAAGCCAAGTTCTAGAACGTTAGCAAAGGAAAAAACAGTTGATGATGATGATGATGATGATGATGATGATGATGATGATGATGATGATGATGATGATGATGATGATGATGATATCTTCACTTCCCTATCTTTCCCAGAGCAATGGTTTTCAACAGCTCTAACAAATTCTTCCTCTAACAACTTGTACACCCCCCAACGGTTTTCTTACAGAGGTTCAGCCTCCTCCGTGGTAAATTTGAGCTTAGTGGTAATGGGCTTAATTTTCTTTGACACCTTTTGGAGATATTCTAGCAGTACTCCACAGATTTGTGAAAAACCACACACCACAGACTGCAAACCACATGGAGAGCATTTGGGTATGTTCAGGGCCTTCCCTCCACTGCCTTATCTCAGTCTACTACGAAAGCCTAAATCGGGTCATTCCTACAGAGAAGCTTGGGATTTTCTGCTGACTGAATTCATGGCATTACTCTAGCTCCATGTTTTTGTACTGGTGAGTCTATTGGAACAACTGAAGAGAGTGAGAGAAAATGTACAAACCAACCCAAACACTACTGAGATCATTTTCTGTCTGCAGCATGTAGTGAAAATACAAGAATGCTTCTGCATTTCATGTCTGAAATCAAGTGAAGAAAGAACACCCCAGCTGACAGCTGCACCACTTCAGTCAGCCCATGTTTGGACATTTCCTGTTCTTTTTACTGGCAAGTTAGAGACACCTGGCACTAAAAAATTCCTGAGTTTGGTAATTTTCTGCGGTCTAAAATTTGTTGATTTCCTTCATGGTGCAAATGCATCTATGGCCACTGTACATATTATATATGTATGTCTGCTTATAGTTCTCTTTCTCCTTGATTTGATGATCACACCAGCCACACCTGACCTTCCTCCCAAGGGTCCCTGTGACACCCATCTGTTTGTAACTCACCCTCTGACACTTGTGGCCATTGGACATGGGGAGCAGGTGGGTCGTTTTGGGGCAGTTGGGGCCCCATGGCAGATAAATCAGACGAATCATTCCTGCCATCCGCCAGCCGTGGATCTCAGAACATCCTATGTGAAGCCTCACATGTGGGGCTGAGCAAGGATAGAGGTGTTTTCATGCTCTGCTGAAGAGCAGCCACCCCTGAGAGGAGCATGGCAGTGCCAGCCAATGGCAACACCAGTGCTGTTTGCTGTTCCAAATCCCCTCAGCTGGGACGGGGATGCAGCACTTCAGAACGTTGTCTTTGACACAGTGTGTTCTGTGCCACCAAGAAGAGACTTTCTTCACCACAGGGACACCAATCTATTTATTTATTTTTCTGTCATCAGCACTAGAGTTGGTGACTGCCCGAAGTTGGAGTGTTCATAACTCTTCACTTGTCTTGGAGCAGACCTTTTCAGGCTCCACAGGAAGGGAAAGTGGCAATTCTGTGTGTTGAACCTCACTGGGGGAGATCTGGGTGTTTCTGGTCTGTCCCAGACCAGATCTGCCCCTCCGGCACAGAGATTCACTGTGCTCAGCTGCAAAATACCTGATCAGTTGTCACAGCAATACTTTGCATGAAATATCACAAAACACTTTGAAAGATGAAATTCCTCCTTATTAACTGAATTCACCGACTTCCGATGCTGGAAACTGTGTATATGTTTAGCAGTAAAAAGACTTTGGTCTTGATTCAAAAGGGCATTCACCTGTCCCGAGGTACAATTTTGCAGCAATTATTCATAATCTTAAAATAAAGCATGTTCCAAAGTGCTCTGCTGGATCATGGCCTATGTTGCAAAAAAGAGAAAATTGAAAACAATTGGAAGATAGTACTTAGGTCACCAGGTCATGGCTAAGATAAGTAAAGGTATTCTGAATTATTTCCCATTTTCTCTGTTTAAAAGCAGCATCAGTATAGCACAGATGTATTTGATATGGAAACCCGTAATCTGCTAATTGGCCCAGTGTCCCTGGACTTGAGCCAATCTGTTGTGGTAAGACTTGATGAATTTAATGTGAGGTACCAAGAAATACCTGATGTTTTCTTCAATGCAGGTAAGATGGACATTGGGAAACACAGGGCTGTATTCCAGAGATGTGTGTGTGCAGACTCCCTGTGCTGATTTCAGCCAGGCCCTTGCAGGCATGTGACAGCTCTGAAGCAGAATTTGTGCTGAAACTTTGACTTGAAATTGTCAGTGAGCAGCTCAGAACACAAAATACAAAGGGGCTAAGAAAACAATAAAGGAACAAAATAAACACAAAGGAACAAAATAAACACAAACAAAATAAATTTTAAAAATAGATGCCTTTGCCAAATATGACAATATATCATCTGGAACACCATCAGCTTGTCTCTGCCCAGGCTCGCATTGCTCCTCATCGATGCACACTGGTTTTGCGTGGGGATAAACTGGAGCCAGACTCTGCCACTGAGTGTGAGCAGTTTATCAGTGTTTCTCACAAGGGCTGGACACCCCTCACGAGCACAGGTAACAAACTGCCTTGCTGGCTGTAGGTGCTGCTGCTCTCCCATGTGCATCAAGCACTGATGGCTGGGGGTGAAAGCCTGAAGGGGGGATGAGGCAGAAGCCAGTGCTGCTGTCCTGCAGCTAGGGGGGATGAGCCTGCTCTGGCCCTTGGCTGTGCTATTTTGTTCCCATCACTGTCCCATTTGCTGCCCAGGCATGGAGAGGAGCTAGAGCCCACCTTGCTCCCACCACTCTGGATGGGGCAGGTGCTGCTGGGACTGTCAGAGTGGTCAGTCACATTGTTGGTGCCACTCAGGCTCCCCCACTGCCCCTGGTCACAGGGACCTGCTGAAGAGCAGTCCTAGGCACACAGGGCATTCCTGCCCTCCAGCAAGGACTGCCAGCAGCATGTCCTGCTCCATCTCTCGGGGGACTGGGGACTGTCGGGGGCAGATGAAGGCAGAGAGCTGCTGCTATAGGTGGGGCAGCAGGTTCTGGTCCCTAGGCTCCAGGGATTATGACCAACATTCTGCAGCCCTGCCAGTGTCTCTCTGAGGGTCCTTCAGCTGGAGCAGCAAGTCTGAAAGTGCCCATTCAGTGTCAGCTGTTCAGCTGCTGCTGGAGGAGCTTGGACCCTCCAGGTGCCTACTGGGTCCTTCTGGCTGGACCATCTGAGAGCCTCCTTCTGCCTGCTGCCCAACCCAACAGGACTGACCCTGGACACTGGCTAGAGAGAAAGGGGAGTCAGGCCTCAGTAAACACCATGAGAGGAAAGCTGCATCTCTTTTATGAACATCAAAAACACTGAGAGTTTTGTAAGGTTTTGCAAAGAATCAGGTGGAGTGGGGAGAGCTCCTGTAGTACCCAGGTGTTTTCAGCAGTTTTGGAAACTTCTCCTAAACTTCACTGATGGAAATCTGCACCTAGCCAGAGAAAGGAGAGCTCTGACAGGCAGAGCTGGTTTCAGAGAGGCAGGGAAACATCTAAAAGTGAAGCACGCCTGTGCAGAGGGCAGATGGAGTAGGAGTACCAGAGCACTGACACATACTGTCCACAAAGGGCTCTCCAGTGGCCACAGCATTTTCAGGTGCAGACTGTCCTGTCAGAGCTGACCTGCTGCCTGAGGGAGCATCCCGTATGACAACAGTTCCTGAGCAGCCATGGACTTTCACCCACCAGGACCATTCCCGGCACAGCTGGGGCTCCATAACCTTGGAGTCGAGGAGGAGAGGATGACTCCTGTGCACCCCCATCCTGTCTGTCACATCTATGGCCAATTGCCCACCTATCTCTTTCTCACCATATTCACAGTTCAGCAAAATCCTAGGTCAAAAGTGACTGTGACTGCAATGCAACAGATCCCCATTCCTTCTCTCCAAGTGAGCATTGTATCAGTGTTAGAGGAGAAATTATTTTGTTCAGGTAATTGTATAATATTTAAGTCTGGAAAAATCTAAAGCTGGTTATGAGTCTACCTAATTTTCCTGTATAATACCTGTCCTTTGAAAATACTGTCATATGAAATGTGTGTAAATAAAACCACAATTTTGATTGCCATGGTATCAAATGCATTTCTGTTCTGTTGTGGACAATGAAGCAGCTCAGACAGCTGTCTTTGCTGCAGGTAGCTGTCCTCTGCAGGTGACATGGTATTACTATGTATTGTTGGTTTTGCAGCAAAGCTTCAGCATCCAAAACAATCTGAGGGTCTGCTCGTGGAGGAGATCCACAAACAGAATGACAGGACAGATTTAGCTCCAAAAGTAACAGAATCACAGAATGGTTTAGGCTGGGAGGAACCTTAAGGATCATTCAGTTCCAACATCCTCTGCCATGGGCAGGGACACCTTCCACTAGAGCAGGTTGTTCTAAGCCCTGGCCAACGTGGTCTTGAACACTTCCAGGGATAGTCCAGCCACAGCTCCTCCTGGGTTGGTTATGGTGTATAGAGGCTGGGCAAGATCCAGGAATATCCAAGTTCTTCAGTATGGATCCAGGCTGTGCAGTAAGCTCAGCTCTGGAGATCAGCCTGAAGCCCAGCTCACTGCAGGACATGCCTGCGTGGGTGAGCAACAGGACATCAGGGTGGCAGTACTGGATCTGTGCCATGTTTCTACTCTCTTTCCCCTCCATGTCATGTTATTCCCTTCTCCCCACTGCCAGCTGACTCTCGGTCTCCTGTCACATGCCTTTCACTGCAACATGCAGGATGGCAAAGCCACCTGGGTTCCTCCAGCTGCTGGTCTTCAGCAGAGATGTCTCAGAAGGGTCCTTGGTTGTGTCCTGTCACCCTGGGGTCCCTTCAGTTCCACCTTCCCTTTGTTCCCTTACACTTGTGACAAAGATATTTTGAGAGAATTTGGATTAATTTTATTTATGTGGAGATTGTGCCAGTTCTGGTCTTTCCCAAAAGTGAGCAGAAGCATCAGGAAAAGCAATGGGAAGCAGCAGGCTACAAATTGCGAAAGGGATGTCCAAGGCCCCACGCTGCAAACCCCATGAGTGATTAGGCACAGACAGGTTATCCGTGTGGGACCTCTCAAGCCCAGATCAGAAAGTCACAGCACTTAGATGGCTCGAGCACATGTTGGTGA